TTTTTTTAGAGAATTATGTAAGATATGATACGATATGTAGTTTGATTAAACTATTTAGATAAGTTTACTACAAATAACCTTAAAACTAGTTATAGGCCCAATTCCAAGCAGAGAAGTCTTAAATACTTTATAAAACTTCAGGGAAAATAAAGTTGTCTAATCTAAAAGTATGATTTTTTTGAATTATTAGTCTACAGTATTTACTTATTTTATTTCTAATTAATATTAATTAGCATGAAATTATTTTTTTATAAATATTATATTTATTTTGTATAAATTAATACAAAGTATAATTTTGCTTCTACGGATAAACTAATTCCCTGCAGTCCATTTTACAGTTTGATGTTTTAAGTGGCAATATGAAAAACTGTATAAGATAAAACTCATATATGCAGAGATTTCTTAGGAAGAATTGACCTAAAACGGAATCAACCCAAAACACGTTCAAACGTGTCGAAGCCACAAGCTATATCCCATTCGTGATCATTTAAAAATTTAGTCTAAAGAAAATATGAGCACTTTTCCATTATGTAGACATTACGCTTTCAAGAGATCTATCTAGGGTACCTAAATACTTGTGAGTGTGCTACAGCTGCAGGCAATTCAGGCTTTACGACCGACGATTCTAGAGCATTCGAACGATTTTTAACTCAGATATTTGCTTAATGCGAATTTAACTTTCCGGCTGCGAATGAATATTAAATGGGATTTTAATGAAATCTTTCTTGATATTGAAACAATGTAGTATTTATACGTATCGCACCCCCAATCAATCCTGACCAAACTCCGCATACGGACTTACAACCTTATATTATATTTCGGCAATACAATGCAGATGCGATGAGAACTTGGAGATACTGATCGTGGTTGGTAACACACACACAACACAGAAGGCAAACGATCACGCGGTCGTTCACCAACCAGATACACCGATCAAGTGAAAGACTATAAACTGATAGATCCTTACATCCTCAAATAGTGTCCATGGGCGGGCGGTATCACTTAACATCGGGTGAGCCTCCTGCCTCCTGTAACATAAAAAAAACTATACACCGGTATAAGAGAGGTGCTAAACAGGAACCGGTGGAAACAGATCGTCCGCTCCAGATGTTTCTTCTTTTACCACGACGCTCTGATATTAGCTACCGATTGAAGAGAGAGAGAGATTTATACAATGGCTAAATGTACGATCCTTAGGACTCGAAGCCAGTGCGTTCGAACTGTGTACCACTGTTTCTTATATATGAATAAAACACTTGCTTATACGTATATGACACCAGTCAAGCCTTTCTCTAGATTCGGAGCTATGTATAACTTCTGTTAGTCAAATCTAATACGTTTTTGACGTTTACTCGCAAACTGTCAACTCTGAGACTCTCTCATGCTGGTAGGCTCACGAAAATGTTGTTATTTACGTTACATTAAGGAACAGCAGTACACAGGTTGAACTGGTACTCTTAACCATAACACTAGGGTTAGACTCGAGGGCAAGATATAGATCTCAGTCGACTTTGAATCTGACCCTAAGATTAGACAGTGTCGCACGCAGAAGACTGATGACTTACTTGCATTTAAAGGAATAATAATAATAATAAGTTATTTGCAAGAATATGGTACAAAATGACATGGTGTTACAATCGAAAGTTCGCATATTCTGCCACAGATAATGGCGTGAAATGAATTTGTCTTAAAAGGAAATTTACATATTAGTTATAACAATTAGTCCATTCTTATATTATTTGTAGTGATAAAAAATCACATTATTAAAATATATTATTATGTCACAAATTAATATTAATTATAATGTTTCACGTTAATAATCATTAATAAAATAATTTTTTTTTTTCAAAAGTTGTACATTAAGTCGATTTTGAAACCTCTTTGAATGTTTTTGGTAAATTATTATAAACTTTAATTACCATACAAAAGGTGTAATACATACAAATATCTGGAGCCAATGGATGTATGAATATAAACACATACTTACACGATTAATTTGACTTTTTTTAAATGGGTTTATGTCGGCTGTTAGTTAGAACTTAAAACAAGGTTGAAGTTTATTATGCTTTCATTGTATAAGTAAATAAGCTTTAAAATGTTTTTTAAATAATAATTATTATTTTAAATCTGTGGTGCTACAAATCTAAGTCTCAGATTTCTGTATTTATTTCGTGATAATTTGTTTTTTCTAATTGGCAATTAGGTGATCAGTTTTCTCTGCGTGACACACGCTGTCAACTTTTTGCGTCTAACGAGTCCAACATTGTTTTAATGTTGTATATATATTGGTGTCCAAAAAGATAAGTTTAATATTAAAGCGGCGAAGCGGAGTTATCGCAATAAATGAGTTAAACTTTTTCACTCACATTTTTATTTTGACCCGAAAAAATGTCATTTAAACCTTGCCTTGGCAAACGTCCAGATTTGTAGAGAACTTTAATATCCTACAATTATTAAATATACTTACCATAAATACTGTATATATTTATTAAAGTGAATTCTTTAAAGTTAACTTATCTATGAAGATTTGGTGTTTATAAGGTTTATAAAAAAAATTGCATCTCTTGATATTTTGGTTAAATATTAATTGTTTCATTTATCAAATAGTTAGTTATTTAATATCAGTCATGAGAACAACGTCTATTTGGTGTTGAATTTATTAAATACGAAATATTTCTGTTTGTTACACCTGAGCCAGCTTTGTTATAAGTTTTGTTTCCTATTGAAACAAGGATGGTCCTATTTTGTACATAAAGAAACAGACACGAGAAAATTTAAATTTACCTAAAGAGATAGTCACGCTACGATAAATAATACGTTTAGACACGATTACAATTATTAGGAACTAACTTGTAGTACACACGTTACAGTCTTTGACAAACCATATTACTTGCGCACTTCCCTTCGGATTTGAATTGTAATTTAACTTGATATCTCGAGTCTGCAGAACTGCACTTACAAAGCTACATTCCCTCGTGGTTACATTCGAAGTTAATAGAAACATGCTGCATGACGTTTACAATATTAAATAGAGAGAGAGAGTTTGTGTATACAAATAAGGGTTTTGGGTCCAAAAATTCTATTGACGAGGGACGAGCTTACTACCTTTCATCTATTCTACTTACTTCACATAATTACTTTCTATAGTTTGTAGTCTGTGAGCCTATACTACAAGTTAGGTTTATACCGAAGCTTACCAGAGTAACAAATGTTTACGAAGCCTCAAAAGGATCAATTAAATGGAAGCAGAAATGATACATCCATGGTAATAGAATGAAAAAGGATGAGATCCAAGGAAAATTGTGTGTTGAAAGAAGAAAGAAACCATATCTCGCTTAGCGCTAAGACCGAGAAGAAATTGTTGTCGTCGTTCAATCTAGAATTTATTTTCTCTTATATATCTATATTGTTAAACAATGAGGTGATACTAAAATCAAGAAAAACTAAGTATTTGCCTATTTATATTTTAAATAAATTTTACCAAATACACACCAAGTATGCGTTTTCGAGTTTACAAAAACAGTTTCATCGAAATGTTATGTTACAATGTTATACTTTGAACGGCTTGAATAGACTTCTTTTCGACAAATTTTGGATTTGTCTATGTTACTTAGGAATAATGTCCAGTCAGACTATCCAGATGCAAACTCATAAATCACATAAAAATTAGCTAGCTGAATTGGATTTCGAAGCTACAGACGCCTTACTACGATGACATGACTTCGAGGTGCCGAAATCTAACACAGACACAACGCAAGCTTATAACACCTCTTAGCTACACTATAAAGTACATGCGCACACACACTCACACATTCATACATACTTAATATATTTAAACTGTTTTCAATATGTACCATGTTCCACAGACTAATTGTTATCTAGTTACCCAAAACACAGGGACTCCCTAGTGTGGGGACTGAACTGACTTATCACAACCTATTTGTCATTAATAAAGTTTTTATTAATATTATTATTAATGAGAATTCTAAAATCGCGGTAGTTTTGAGTTTACTAGTTAAAAACTTCTCCTCAAGGTCTTTTAGATGCCATAGACGTTGCGGGCGGAAGATAGGACCACATTTATTCGTAACGTAAAACTTATGCTTAGATAAAATACGATTTCATCACTTTTGTTTGGTTAACAAATATAAAGCAAATAATGACGGTGCCACGAAATATCTTATGAAATTTAGCGGTATGTATATGGTGTTTTAATTTAACTTGATAAATTCAAATATTTTTATAATGTGATATGACTGTACAGTAGGTAAAACATGTCATCAACTGTTTTTTGTCTAAAATTATTAATGCTTGCGTCATGCAACTTTCACTGTACAACATATTGTTGCCGCCGGGATTAGAACGCACGACTGCAAGTTTGACAGTCACACGGTTAAACTGCTCTATGTAATTGAAAAATAATGCACAGATGTAAATAGATTTAAAAAATGAGACGACATTATATGTGTTTAAACTGTTTATATTTTGCTTTCCAGACCACATATTGTGTATGTACTATAAACGAATAATAACAAACGTGGAACCTGTAACAACGCACACTTGCTGGCGCTGCGAAATCAGTGTTAGATTAAAAGATATTGTCTACTAGACGGTTAGTTAATATTTAATGAGCGCTTGTGCTTATGTTTTTATAATTCATCAAATTTGTCTACGTATATTAAGTGTAAAATTGTATGTTATTCCACCCCATATTGAATCATGCCAAACACACATTATTTACTTGCAGTACATATATCTAGCAAAATAAACTACTATTTATACAAGACCATTTTAAAATGAACTATATTGTACACGAACTTATTCCAACATTATGTTGATATAGCGAAAGCGATAGCTCATATTTGATTGGACATTTAAATCAAGGTAATGCAGATAATATTTTGTTTATATCATTATTCATAATCAAATTTAAATCAGTCACTTTGTGTATGAAGTGAAAAGACGTGTAAAATATTTTTATTATACATTAAGACGTTAAAATGAGTGAAGTTGATTTACCAACTTTAGCTAAAACCGGTAAGTAAAACACGTTTTTATCGTTATTTTGCTCATATATATGTAATATGATAAAAGTATTCATGTAATATCAGTGTGTTCATCGTTATTTTCAAATTTCAATAACATTAGGGTTTTTAAACAAATGGGCAGGCACGACCGGGGCAGTAAGTCTCACAGAAAACCTGCGCGAATTGATGCAATAGGTTTACCTAATCATACTCGCGATACTGGAGCCCTTCTTAAAACAGAGACTACCCCAGATTAAAACGGGGTAAAAACAAGCCCCTCTGCGCGCCCTCCACCGGGTCACGGGACGGTGCTGACACTGTCACTGAGATGGTCCTGCGGGATATGGAACTTTTTATTCCATTCCCTGTGATGGAAATTCCCAGGCTTGGTTAAAACGCTCTTGCCAGGCAGCCTTGCGTCGAAATCGAATGCTTTAAAGCCTGAGTAGAAGCGGCGACATTCGGTGATGAGACTATCAGACTATGCAAACTTAAAAAAGGATAAAACTCAGTCTCTAGGTCTTTCAATCTGGAAATTGCTAGGGCAGAGTACATTGCCGGATTCGGCTAGAAATTGGCCCGCCTCCCTTCGGGGACTTGATCCTTTTGGTCTCTTGTCAATGCTGTCCAAGGCAATTCCTGTCAGACCTCCATTCTACTACTGCACAGGGAGGATGACTTTCAGGCCCATACCGCGACGCATACGGCCGATCTTTAGGGAAGGCACCAATCAAGGTATTATTTTCGAACCAATTCAACTTAGGGTCCTTCAAAGAAAGAGCTTACTAATTCTTAAAAGATAGGCAACGCTAGTGCGAGCCCTCTGGCGAGTAACGTGGTAAATTTTATTTTAATAAACGGTGTACGATATTTTTCAGTACAAACGCCGTGTGAATGGGTCTATGTACAATACATATATTAATTATTATTATTAAGACTATTAATGATATTATTCGTGTATACTGAAAAAAAACGTGCAGGACAATGCCGTGTGAACCCAGTCTTAGCGTGTAACCGTTAACATAGAACTAATTTTGTCAACTGAATAATTTTCTGAACAATAATTGCTCGTAAACTCTAAAGTACTGTGAATTAGTTTAGAATAGCATTATTACACACAACAATTAATTAAGCCAAAATGGTTCATAAGTGTTCCAATAAGATCATTGAATATATTTGAATTTGAATAAGACTAACATAAATACTCTATTCTCTTTGATCTTAATGTTTGTGTATGTAAATTTTCTTGGCGTTTTAGTTGAATATTTTTTCTAGCAATAGAGGTTCATGATTCTAATACTTCATATCGTTTATCTTTATATAAATTACACGTCACGTTATTGTCCGCTATGGACTAACTACTTAACCGATTTCAATCAAATTTGCACACCGTGTGCAGTTTAATCTAACTTAAAATATAGGATAGCTTACATATATATATAATTCTACTGTACGTGTGTATGTCACTGAACTCCTTTTCAACGGCTGGACCGATTTGAATTATTTTTTTGTATGCGTTTGGGTGGAGCCCTGGATGGCTTAGATTCACAAATAAGCCCGGCAGATGGCGCTGCAGACGGTACTTTCATACTTTGTTTAATATCCTAATCGCTTGAAATATCATGCAGGACAACGTCAGTGCGGTCCGCTAGTTTGTGTGTATATCTAAACGGTTGTGAAATTTTTGATTTTGACTTTTTAGCCACTCACTTTGACTTTTTACACACTTTTAAATACGTCGTCTTTTAATAACGTCACATACTTAAAAAAACAACTGGGCTGGGTCTTTATTGTTTTAAACCCTTTTTAGTATTCACATTTAAATCACCACTTCTCATGTGAAAAAATATTGCGCTTTGTAAATATCGTCTAATGGAATATGATAATGCCAATTTAACTACCTATTTTAACATCAAATTTGTAACAAGATTTTCCATCACATAGTCGTAATTAAGCTCATATACGGGAAACTGCAGTGATCCAAACTCCGTTTTTCACTCGAGCTAATTGCGTCACAGCATCAAAGTGCGGTCACTTTTCCCGGATAAATCTCCCTGAAGCGTGCAACAGACTGGAATACTTTTTGCGAACGAAAAATATGGGAAGCATTGTGCGGCTCTAAAAAATCCCGGTTCGCTCCCAAAAATAATCGTCTATCGAAAATTGCTAAGAGCTGTACGTTCTTTATTCGGCAATTGTGCGGAAAATCCGTAGTGTAAACTAAGCTTTATAGATTTAGTCGATGGGAATGGGATTTTAGTTTGAATTCTATTTGCGACGAGTATCGCGTAAATGGTATAGTATGGCCGAGTTTTGCTTTGATATGTTTTTCATAAATGGCCAATAAACACAGAATACAATTTCACTATGGAACTGTTGATCGTCTATATTTAAGATAAATAGTGCGCAATGGGCGATGTTTTTATGTGAAAATTATTGACGTACGAATTAAGTGAGGGCCAGCGGTGAATCCCAAAAAAAACAAAATGTATTTAAATTACTTTAATTCAAACTCAAACTCAAACTCAAAATATCTTTTATTCAAGTAGGTAACCAAGTACACTTTTGAATCGTCAGTATTAGTTAATCACATACAAAAATGACCTAACTAAATATAACATTAAACTCTACCGATATTCCGACAAATAATCTATATTATAAACTTAACTAGTGAGAATTGACCACTCCGATATGAGGTATCGATCAAAAGCTAGCTTCTGGTCCTCTGTTGTCCGTTTCCTTATTAAAAATGTTCGTGAGCGTACTGTCTTGGGTATGCGGGGCAATGGGAGTGCAATGGATATGTAACATACTCTTAAGAAAAAAATACGAAAAAATAATTGTTAATATCATCTGGTCTAGGCTTAAAAAACAAATGACAAAGTAACTCCTTAAGCTGGCAGCATTTTCAACGGAAACGGATGCGTTTTCTGACAATGTAGTAACTGCCTTACACATTACCATTTATGTTTAATTGGTGTTCAATTTATAAAGACATTATTAGAAGTATATTTAAAATGTAATAAAACACTATTTTGACCGGATTGAAGTTATGTATTATTATAAATTTACAACTATTCACTATTTGAGTCACCGTGACCACGCACGCTGTAAAGCACGCGAAACGTCGGATAAATTTAAAATTATGTTAAATAGTTGTAAATTTATAATAATACATAACTTCAATCCGGTCAAAATAGTGTTTTATTAAATGAATAAAAGTTATGTTAATCAAAGACAATACTATATTTAAAATGTGTTAGTTCGTACACTTATCCTGTATAAAGGTAGGCTTTAAGTAGTGTAATGACTTTTTTAGGCGTTTCATAAACTGGAAAATCTTCGATAATTATTTGTTCAAGACCCGGCCCTACTTTAGTGATTTAGTATTCTTTGTTTTTTAATTGGTCACTGTAACACTATAGTAACTGTTTTGTTGCTCGTATACAAATATATTTAATCCCTGTCTCGAGAGTCCCTACAAGTCGTTTTGGTATATATTTTCACTTTATAACTTAAACTTAAGTTGTGTTAAGTATGTACTATGTTTTCTTTACTTAAATTTATTACGTTTATAACAAAAATATGTTAAGGAAATGCCGACAGTGTAAGCCACCATTAAAAAAATTAGAAGCATAAAATAAATAATATTACTATTAAATTAAAATTAGAGTAAATCTAACTTGTCGATAACAAATCGAATCTTTAACTTTAACTCGATTTTTTTTAAATATTTTATTTGCAATAAGGTACAAAAATGTTCGCGACTTTATTCATAATTATATAGTCTTGATGTTAATAACTGAACTGCATACATTGAAACTTGTTCATCTTGAAGCAATTCTATCCCAGTGTTTACTGAGTCAAATACAAGTTGCTATTAAATTGTATCTATGTGAGCTTGGAGGGGTCTTATAGAACGAACCGCATTGTTTGTGAGAACGTATATTGAATATGGCTGAATGAGTGGTTATGGAACCTTTGATGAACTGGAGATCTTATTTACATGACGTAGTGATATTGTGTTTATCGTGATCTCACATATAATACAACTATCCATGGTATATGTTCGTTAAGACTTCTGCACGAATTTTCTGTACGATTGAAAAGTGGCATCAATCTGAATTAATTTAATTCAGTCTCACTTTATTCATTTCAAAAACAATTTTATCGTAACTCTTAGTAGCAATTCATCTAAGGTTTAAAGTTTTTATATTGTCAAATGATGCCATCAAAGGCTCGCAAATACATAAAGAAATGAAAATTGGTAAACTTTTTTAAATAATAAATATATATTAATTACTTTTTAGTTTTACCATCGCTTTGATCTTTTAAAACGCTCACCACTTCCTGTTTTGCGTTCTCTTATATTAATTTGTATTCGTTTTTAGAATGGTTTAACCAAATAAATTTAATTTTTTTTGTGATTTCTGTCTTGGGATGTCTGGATGACTCGAAACCTATTTTTGTCTAAAATAACGTCAGTTTTCTATGAAACAACAACCTATATTTGAGATACAACATTAATAATACACAACAGTTTTTCCATAAATATTCACCGTACATATTTTTTTCCAAATTTTCAATTTCCAATTCTGGGAATTAACATTTGTTTAGGTTGAAATAGTGTTGGTGTAATGGCGTTTAACGTTCGTAAGTTCGGACGTTCTGTCTATATGCGTCTTTAAGACACGCTCGGTGAAGAAAAACATTGTAAGGCATCGGCATTCCTTAGACACAAAAAGTCGACGGCGTATGTCAGACACAAGGCTGATTCCTCCTTACTATATATTTTTTTTTAATATTATTGAGCCTTTATTGCTGACACCCAGTACAATGTAATAACAATTATTTAAGTTACAAAAAAAAAACACTTAATTCTAATACATAAATAAAACTTAATCTAATACGTCACTTGACCCGATTTAGGTAGTCAGCGTGTCCTGTGACACGTAGGCCTCTTCCAGCTGTATCCATTCTTTTCTGATATTAGCTCTTCTTGTCCAAAGTGTGCCTCCTATTATCTTATTATATATTACTAAAGATAAAATAAATAAATGATCATGAAAGAGATATAGAAAATTGAGGCGCAGACCTAAAAGGTTGTAGCCCTGGTTTTTTCTTTTAGTCAGTGCGTTAATAGTAATAATAATTTATGTATTAAAGCAGACAGTCGATAAGTCCATGTGGTTATTACAATCATATACCATTAGTTATATTGAATAAGATAATTAACCCCTGTAACACGCATAACTAAATGCGAAAATTGTAAATAACCAGTATTTGAACAAAATCAAAATCAAAATCAAAATACGTTTATTCAATTTAGAAAACATTAACATATCCAAGCACAGAATACTAAAGAAATATTAATGACGCAACAAAAAGAATACATGGAAGGAAAATCCAAGCTAGAATTACTTTCCTTATTAGCCTGTCCCGGTTCCAGAAATTCATTATTTTTTGTTTTACATTGACAAAAACACGTCCTAAATTCAAGCCTATTTGGCATGGGACCAAAAAAGTGCCAATCGTAAGATTGACCGGCCTCCACGATACAGCCCTTCAGCCATTTCCTAACCTCCGTCAATACAAGTACTTACGGCTGAGCTTGAAGTTGTACATTAAGATTTAAGGGTCACTTTAGCTTAAGCGAAAATAAAAATAGTTTCTTTTCATCCAATCGAATGATAAGACAGTTTTTCACTGAACTTCTTTATAATCACACTTCGTAATTGTACAATTTATAGATAGACAGTATTATATAGATTATATTTGTTGTGTTTCTCCGAGGGAGTCAGTACGGAATAAGTTTAAGGAATTAAATATTATGAAACTATCCGGTCAATATATTCTTGAAGCCTTGTTGTATGTACAAAAAAATATAAACGATTTTAAAACAAATACTGACGACTAGTGTAATACGCGAATATAGAACTAATTTGCGTGTACGACCAACCAGGCTCCAAAAGATAAACCACTCCTTATATGGAAATTGTATTCGTTTCTACAACAAACTCCCAAGCGAAATTAGTGAATTAACACTGAATAAATTCAAAGCCCTCGTTAAACGTAAATTAATCAATAAAGCTTTTTATAAATTTGACGAATACTTAAGTGATTCTAATCCTTGGGATTGATTTGCTCCAGTTCAAACAATTTGTATGACTCAATACTGGCGATTAAAAAGAGTGGCGGAAAGTTTCTTGTCAGTTATTCTTACCCGCTCTACGCCCTTGACTTGCGAACTGGTAGTAAATGTAAATTTACAATTAATTTAATTTCTTTTTGACGATTCATAAGTGTACTTGTTTACCTATATGAATAAAGATATTTTGAGTTTGAGTTATAGTATTTATTGCGTCAAGTACTTAAACTCATTAATATGTCAAATGGAAGAAAATAGCTTCCTACGACACAGGGAATCCTAGCGAGGCTAGTGCACTTTATCTTTATACATCCTTTTTTATTATGTGTATGATTAATTAAACTTAAAAATGTGTTGAAAATCACTTTTATCCTATTTATACAAAATGTTCTAAGAAAACAATCTTCGAATTAAAATTTAAATGACGAGCCAAAACTAGCGTCGTTTCCACAGACTAACAAAAAATTACATGAAAAATCAATTGACACATAATAGGTAGTGAATAACCTAAAGAATCTAATCTATATAATTATTTCTTTACATGTGTAAAAAAGTTTTTTTTTCTATATCTTTGGCATCGCAAAAAAGGGCGAAAATTAGACGAGACTATAAATAACTAAATAAACTATCGGCCACTCAATGTAATCGCAAAGTTTTTGTTTTATCAACGTGTCTATATATATAATACTTACTATAAGCTAGTTAGACACATTTTAACTAAAATAATCTACAATTTTCCTAATAAATTATCGTTAATATTTTGGGTTTAGCAATACCTATAGTTGTACCTGTTCGTATAGTGAGAGAACCAGTTACAAGTGCGACCGAGTTGATCGTGTGTTTCAAAATATGTTTTTGACTTAGCCGAGCGAAGTTGGCATAGGCTGAACACTTCTAAAAGTTATGTACCTTCTGGGCTATAAAAAATTATCAAAAGAAGATATAGAAATCGGAGTCCCAGCCAAAATGTTAGTTTAAATATAGTTTAGGAGTTAAATCTACGCATCGTATAGTAAAGAACTTTCTAAGTCTTAAGTAATGCATTCGATTCTAGAACAACTCTTTTACTATTATAGGCTTAAAGATATAGTATATTCAAAATTTTACTGTTTATAGGTCATCAATTAATTCATGAAAATTAAGCGAACAGCCGCTCGATCAATTAAGTGGTGTCATATATTCTTGACTGTATAAATTCACTTGAAACTGACTGAAAAGCGACATTACCGCTACGATGCAACAATTTCGTTTCAGAATATTTTATTAACTTGTTTTAAAGTCACCTGATAGAATATTTAATTTTTGAGTTCTAAAACGAACTTTGAAGTAGAATTCAATCTTAATAAAATACCAATTGCGATTATATATTTTTCTTTGTTTTTGAACAGGGGGCAAATGGGTAGGAGGCTCATCTAATGTTAAGCATTACCGCCCATGGATACCCTCAATGCCGGCGGGCTCGCGAGTGCGTTTCCAGCCTTTTAAGAATCCATACGCTCTTTTTTTGAAGGTCCAAGTTGAATTATTCCTGCTATACTATTTCTGAAAGACGTCAACTTCTAGATCTTTGAAAATTGTTCTTAATTTTTACACGTAATATGGCCGCTATCTAGCTAGCACAACATACACAAATATAATTTGACTAGACTGTAATACTAAACATGTATGAACAGACTTGATGTATACATCTTCAAAGGGTCGTGACCGGATGGTACATTAAATTTGCATATCATGGACATGTTTGCAGACATCTCGGCGTGAGTATACTCGAAATGCACCAGCCATTTTAAATAGACCCCTACTTTTTTACATTGTGTTCTGTACAAACTAAACTTTACATGACATGTGCAACATTTTGACCATTTTAATTGGGAAAAAAAGTTTTGAATTTATTTGTTTTTTACGTCGTTATTTTACGAGATAACTCCGTATTGATAGAATTAATGTAATGTTTCAACTAAAACACAGATCACAATATAAACACTATTTGACAGAAAGAGGCAAATGTGTGCGTTTAATAAACTTTCTTCGTTCGATGGAAGTTTATAGCATAAGCTATACGATCTCGGACAAATCAATTTTGTATCTGTTTGATAATAATTATACAAAGAAAAGTCTTTATATGTTTTTACAATTAAAGTCGTGTTATACGGCATACGCCACTGATTTAAAACTGTGACTGTACATGTGCCTGTCAGCGAGTTCACAGAGTTGATTACGGTGGCATATGTCAATTGTCAACCTGAAAGCATGCTAAATTGTCATAGACGCAACTCTGATTGCTAAAATGGCGGCAAAGACAATTCCGCCGTTGCCTTACATCTTGAGAAGGCATTTATATCGTAGCATGGTCCTATTTGTTTGGTGGAGTATCAGAAATATCGGTAATACCTGTACGGCAATACGATCAAGAGATAATTACATGACACACCAGCTGACATTATGTTCACCGCCCGACTACCCTCACCTACTAACGAAAAATTATAAAAACGTCAATACGAGTGCTATCATTTGCTTAAATTCCTCTATTTAGTAAGCATATAAGAATATGGTTTTATGATATCTATGTAGATGCCTACTCGGCCTCGTCCTTGTCATGTAAGTGTCATTGGATTTTTGGCGAAACATATAATTAGTTCGTGAAGGTAGGCACAGTATGACATTTGACCTTGCAAAATGATGACATTGACGCAGAAATGTGTCTGCTCTATGCTCTATTGTTAACGGACATTAAACAGTTTTGAGGCCCTAATTAAATTGAATTTCATTGGTTTCAGGTCGCTCTGCCGCTGAGTCTAAATCACAGTTTGCTTTGGAGGAAGTGAACCTTGCTCTAAAAGAATGTGGTTATGGCTTCTTCCACGTGCGACTGATGCTCGCGGTATTTGTGGGACTGGTGATGGGTGTTATGATGGCATCCAGTTCATCGTATATCTTGTCGGAGGCTGAGTGTGATTTCGATTTGGATCTAGTGGATAAGGGGGTGTTGAATGCTATGCCTTATTTAGGTATAGGTGTTTTATTGAGCAATACACATTATATTTCTGTATAACTTTCTTTCTTAGATTCTCGACAGATACTATTGTTAGAGCTAGTTGATCTAGTTCTTAGGGTAGGAAATCAAACACTCCAATGATGACTTGATTCACTTTAATTCACACATTGATTTTATAATTTCAAACTTAAACAAAGGAATTGCCTGTGCGCATGTGTTACAACCTCTTTTATCATCTAGTCCCCACTCCGACTCCACCTTCCCACTTCGGGCAGTTATTCGAGTCAATTCGTAACAGTTCGTAAATAACCGAATGAGTCAAATGATTAATTATTGCACATGCGCACTTGTAGCAAAAGAATATGTTTCATAAAAATGTTTAGAACTTAATTAAATATTAAAAGCTAACACTATGTAACTCCTAATAGCGATCGCGATGGGGATCCCTACCTTAATGTTGAGTTTGTACCTCGCAATTACTATCTTGAAATTGAAAATAAAGACGTCGGAATGACTTTCGCTTTGGTGGTCACGATGTTTTCCTTTAATGTATATAAAGCCAGCGTTTATGAGCTACTTCAATTAATAATAATATTTGTAAATTTAAGGTATGTTAACATCTTCAATCATTGCTGGCTTCCTTACGGATGCGTTTGGAAGGAAGACATTTGTTGTACTCGGCTGTGGTGGAACGTTCGTCTTCATGTTTTTATCTGGACTTAGTCAAACCTACGTAATGTTGACCATGGCCAATTTTAGCGTAGGAGTTTTGTAAGTATACACTTTACGTATTATTCTTATATTTATAATTAAGTCTTAGGATATTTTATAAGTTATGTGACCTTTATCATCAGTTTCAAACAGTAATTTAAAAAAAAGGAAAACTAACAAAAAAAATGTGTAGAACACGCGGCTATATTGCTAATAAGTAGTAGTTTCTTGTTTCACAATTCTTGATTTAATGTGATAAAAAGGTATTAAAGTATTGTCTTCAGAAATGACAATTTTTATTAAAAGCAAATATTTCATTGAATTTAAAAACGCTTTCTTCACTTTTTACTTTTTGTATTATTCTTATGTTTTCTTAAGTTTTTATTTTTTGTTTTTGTGATATAACAAAAAAAAATCATACAAAGAGAAGTTTAGTTAATTTAACTAACAATACGGTCATTTGATTCCTCAATTCCTCCTTTTGCATTTAGATTATTAACGATATGAAATAAAATAACAATAAAAAAATCTAAGTCTCTTCACGTATATACGTTATACATGAGCGCAGTTGCAACGAAGATTTATAGAAAAGTATTTCTTAACATTCTAAGAACGTTTGCTCCAAGTTTCTGCAATTTCCCCTTCCATACAAAATGTTTAAACATAAGTGAATAATCAATAAGCATGTTAACTTTATTGCAACGTATTACTAGAGTTTTCAAAAATCGACTTAATATGCTACTGTAGGAAGAAAATGATTATTGTATTATTGATATTTGTGTGAAACATTATAATTAACATTAATATTAATAAAAAATGATTATGATGATATAACTCATACTGTAACTGTGACTTCTATTCTAGCATTTAACAAAAATTTGCACGCCATTATTTGCCACAGTGCAGTGGCAAAATATGTGAAGTTTAGATTGAACCAACATAATATTTTTGTATCAAATTCTTGCAAATAAATTATTATTATTACAATAGGGTCTCTCAACAGATCACCAACACGAGTTGAAAGAACAACACTGAAAAGGCAATAGCAAAGCTACAGAGCACGTAAATCATAATTTTTAAATGAAGTCCGAAATAGGAAGTTAAACTTATATCGATTATTTTAATTACTATTCAATTATACTACAAATTAATTAGATTTTATTGCATGTTGCACTACCGTTAAAATCGGCGAATTGAGCTAAAATCAACTGAACAAGAAAAAAAATGGTGCGTGTACTAATTAATGTACGCGCGTAAGAAGTTATACTTCTTTGGCTTTCTTTATTTTTTTTAAATATTAAATAATTAATAATAAATATTTAACGTTAATACTTTAATATTATTTATAGCTGCTAACGTCACGCATATTATATTTCTTTTTACTTGTAGATTGTCTTATTTCCATCTCGCTCGCGCACGCTCGGCGCCCATACTGATAATTTTGTGTCACGGTGCGCGCGTATCGTAAAATTTCACTCTCATCAATTTTTCATAACGCGCCTAAAGAAGTATAACTTCAAAAATATTGAAAGAATATATTTTAATATTCATTCTCTAAAAAACAATGGATTGAACAAACTTAGCGGATTGATAAACTTATTTTCTTTTATTGCAGTAAAACCTATTTTGAGTAGGGACCTTTTTATAAAATCTAAATAGGTTTTGTTACACTATTATGTCCCTTTCCACAACAGTGCTAATACAAATTGATAGAAAGATCAGAACGATTTCTTATTCTTATTAAAATGTTTAAATTTAACGGGGCTTTGTAAATCAATGTCATCTATATTCTCTATTTGCTTGAGAAACGCCGTTCGGTAGGAAAAGTATCTGTCCCCATCCACACGCGCCTTTAGTACCGTCAGCAATATAAAGCGAAAATAAATTTCATTTTGGAAGAAAGAAAGTGACAAATCAAATTATCCGGCTTGAAAGAAATAGAAAAGATAAAATACTCTAATTTTGGATGAAATTATTGAGTTTAAGTACACGGTCTTTGGGGATGTTTTTGCATGGTGTTTGGACTTCGTTCTTGTTGGTTCTAGACTTTTTAGTTAGTTTAGAGGATACGAATAAATAACTCTAAAATTGGAGTACATTCGTGATGTGTATATTAAATCATAAATAATTATAATAATTGTTATATACGTATATTTAAGACCAGTCCAACTACGACGATTGATGCCCACTTTGTTAACTAATAAAAAATTGCTTTTACTGCCTTTGTCAACCTTTCGGTGGTCTTAACATTTCCTAAATGATTCAAATGATTGCAAAATATAATAATTATCTTAATTAAATATTCATGTAAAATAATTTCATTGTAGCATTATTTACACGTTCATTTATATTTTACTTTGGATGAAAATGAAAATGTATTTCAGTTTCGCCGCAGCATATAGTTCCATGTTGACATTGACATCTGAGTTCTATCACGATGGAGTAAGAGATCGGATTATGCTTATTACATCTGCTGCGATTCCTTTGGGTCAGGTGATTGTCGCTCTCATGTCGTGGGGCATACTCATTCAAGATTGGGCAGTTTCATTCTTTGACGGGGCGTTTGGTGAGTGAAATTATTTCAAAACCGTTTTTGTTATTATTTCCCCGTAACCCAATTGGGCTATCAAACAGGGAGACCTAGCACCAACCATGATACCGTATCACAAAATCTATGTTAAATATTTAATGTTTTTTATAATAGTATTTGTGTATACAGGACGTCCCAAGACTATGGGACATCAAGGGAAAGTACCTTAAATATCGTAAATTATTATTTAAAAAAGTAAGTATAGCATAAAGTAGCATTCAATGATTTTCTAAAAATTACTTGTCTCGGTTGGGTATTGAATCGACTCCTATTTAAATTACCCTTATTTTTTAATGCCAATTAAGAGAATGGACAAAAAATATTATATTTTTATTAAGGAACAACGTAAATTGTTTATTTATCGCATTCAGACAAGATAAGTATTTTTTTTAGAATATATAGTATGCAGTCAACTTACTTTATATATATAATTATATAATAATATCGGTTCGATTTCCAGACGAGATAAGTATTTTTTTTAGAATATATAGTATGCAGTCAACTTACTTTTCAAAATAAAAAAGTCATCTTTCAGAAATATATACTATCTACGGTATTTAAGATACTCTTCCTTGATGTCTTGGGACGCCCTGTACAAACATAAATAATCTTATCAGATTGTAAGGCGCAGACTTCTAATCCTACGACGCCTAATTGTCTTCAAAAATTCCATAATATTTATATAATATTTACCTACTTAAAATTTGTAATGTTGCATAATTAGATTTAAATTTTCTTAAAACAATGTGATATTTCAAAATCAAAAAGCTTTCAAATGTTTCATATTCTATTAAAGAGAACTGACTGGTAAGTATTTTCAAAATTCTAAGGGGTGAAGTGAATGTATACAGTTTCCAAGAATGAATATAACCCTTGTCTGTCGCCTCTGGAAATTTACTTTGTATGAGTTCTTGGAAACATCAAGAGCCTTTATAGTGCGGATCTATTATTCAAAGCACTAATGAACGTTTCCAAAACTGCGAGCTTATTAATAAATTACAGCTAGTACGTTAACTCATGGCTTGGTCAACTTAAAAATCTTGTTATCTTTAACAGACACATGTTGTGCAAGGCAATGTGTCACAAAATGAAACAGACAATAATTTGTATCATCCAAAAGGCAATAGGTGTGTCCATAAAATAGAAGTATGTCTTTACCATGCTTTGAAAAGGGACGGCTTTAAAGTTCCTATTGCAAATTCACTATTAAATTAGCTTTTCATGATATATGATATAAACTCGACTTTTTGGGTCTAAAGCAAGCCAGTTTATTCTTCTTTTCCGTACGAGCGAGTATGAAATGCGCATTTAGAAAGAAAAGTCTATTGGTGCACTAACACGGATCGAACCTACGACCTCAGGTAGGAGAGTCGCACGTACAAGCCACTAAGCCAAAACTGCTATGTTATCACTTGGTAGTATATAAAACAGCTTACGTCCTGTTCTCAGACCTACCGAATATACAAAAAAAAGAGTTTAGTTACAAATACGAATTTCATATAAAAACATACAAAAGTTTATTATTTTATTTGCTATCGGTACTAACGTGACTTCTAGACATCAGACGATGCCTAGGCTATCAAATATGCCTGTCATAAACATGTGAAGAGTAATCGCGGTAATATTTCTTTCGCAATAAGCATTTCCAACAGTTACCTTCTATGTTATATTTAAGGTATTGTATCCAATATCACAGAAGCCATAGAATACATTGTTACAATATTGTACTACTAATGATTAAAGGCTTTGGTTAAGGGTACTATGTACTTGTGAAGGGGGATTTGGCAGTACGGTTCGGTTCAAACATACTATATTTCTCAATTAAATACATTCACTAAGTGAGAAAATTTAGAGAAGGTTAGTTATGTAAATCGTGTTATGAAATTATTTGATAATAAGCTATCTAAAATGAAAATATTAGTTGCTAACAGTATGTACAATATTTTTTTACAAAAGTGCAGATAACTGCTAATGAATTAGCAGTAATTTCATACACGCTCGTTCACAAATATAAATAAATGCTAGAAGTGACTTTTTTGATGTTTAGTAAATACATATTTAATCTATTATTTTATATTGAACTTGTATGAATAGTTGAATTGTATGAGCTTGTAAATACGAGAAAAATCGCACTGTCTCAACTCTAAATATTATACTTAGGTATCATCATCATCATCAATGGTTATACAGCCCCTTGTGGGACTTAGCCTCCTCAATTACACTTCGCCATCGCAATCTATCTGCTTCCCGCGTCCAATTTCGAACCCCTATTGTTTCGAGGTCCTTGACAACTCCATCCCACCAACGCAGCCTCGGTCTACCGGGTTTTCTTTTGCCTCCGGGTTGTGAGTTTAGTAAGGACCTTGGGGTTCTGTCGTTCGCCATTCGATGCACATGTCCCAGCCACTTGAGCCTGTTGCACTTTATGAATTGGATGATGTTGGCGTCGTATAGGATGTTATAAAGTTCTTCATTGTAGCGGATACGACAAACACCGTCGTTGCAAACAGGACCAAAGATTCTTCGAAGAATCTTCCGCTCGATAATAAGGAGAGAGATCTCGTCTTTCTTGCTAAGGGGTCTGGTTTCAGAACCATAAGTGAGCACTGGTCGCAGTAGAGTTTTGTACAGAACAAGCTTGGTATTCTTCCTGAGAAGTCGCGATTGGAAATATCTGCGAAGGCCAAAGTAGCAGCGGTTTGCCATCATGATGCGTCTACTGATCTCTCGGCTGGGATTGTTATCACTAGTCACCATTGAGCCCAAATAAACATAAAATATACTTTGTACTGTACATAGGAATCATATTGTGGTTTAATTCCTGTCAAGTAAAAATTGTCGTATGTAAAAATTATCAACATGTAAACTTAAACCTTTAATAATTTTTTTTCTTGACTACTTAGTTCGCATTTGTTTTTCAGTACTTCATACTTGGAACTACTATTACCTGATTCTATCTCTTTGGGCATTGGTTGCTATGATCCAATACATACTACTGCCAGAGAGTCCAATGTTCTATATTTCCCAGCAAAAGTACGATGAGGCGAGAGAGGTATTAATTAAAGTTTATAAGGAAAATACGAGAAAACCAGCTGAAACATTCAAGGTGAGTTTACTTATACAAATTAATTGAAATATATTTTACATCAATTTATTTACACTTTAATTCGAGCCTTTAGAATTGTATTTTTTTTTAAATGTAATAGGAGACTAACGGGCAGGAGGCTCACCTGATGTTAAGTGATACCGCCACCCATGGACACTCACACTGCCAGAAGGTTCGCAAGTGCGTTGCCGGCTTTTCAGAAATTAGTACGCTCATTTCTTGAAGGACCCTAAGTCGAATTGGTTCAGAAATACTTCAGTGGGCAGCTGGTTCCACATAGTGGTGGTGCGCGGCAAAAACTGCCTTAGAAAACGCTCAGTTGTGGAACATTGTATGTTAAAGTTTTTGAGTGAGACATAGAATATTATATATAACGTCCATAAATAATAAAAACGTTAAATTATCGATTTAAATAAAATATTATAACAGTTGGATATTGAAGATATAATTGAACTTCCTTAGTTTAGTTCGTATTAAGTGACTCTTATATTCAAAAATTCAAAATCATTTATTCGTTTAGGTTACACAATGTACACTTATGAACGTCAATAAAGAAATACATATTAAATGTTTCTAATTTTACATTCACTGCCAGTTCTCAAATCAAGGGTGTAGAACGGACGAGAAGAACTGGCAATAAATTCTCGGCCACTCTTTTTAATCGCCAAGTTTTTTGTTTTACAAAATGTTTGTACGGAGCTGCAACCATCACACCACGTTCCACATGACATCTATGAGTAATTAGTAGTTAATTAATAATAAAAACAAACAAATATTTGTTCTCTATCAGCAGGAGGCATGGTAAAATAGAAGCACGCACTTACATTCTCGTGGGAACAACACGCAAATACATAGTCGAAATAACTAACATATATTTCTAATAACGAATACGATTACAAAATATAATCTACATTATTATTTAAGATATAATTCTATCAATTAAAAGAACACACCTACATTATAAACAAGAATGAACAAAAAACAAATGAAAATGCTGTAATAAGCCTTATTTTAGTTCTTACGAATAAAGTGTAAACTTCATTCCATAATACTCTCGACGTTCTTGTACAAATAGTAAAGTACATCGCCTTAATCACGTAAGCATTATAACAAAACGCAGCGATCTCGCGGCTTCCTCAAACCAAAAAATAGTTGGCCATTCTCCAGAATCACCTTGGCAATGATTATGTAATTGCACGACCAACTAAAATGTGTTTTTATGTCCCATTTAGCTGAGTTACAGCCGTGGATTTTAGTACGGATATAATTTATCAGTTACGTCAGCGAGGTTTCTTGTTTTCGTGGTCGCAACTTCGGTTTGAATTTTAAGTTGGAATTAGAATAATTTTGTTCAATGTTTTTTTAAATAGTTAGTAGTCAGGAGGAAAGGAAGTTGTTTCCTACTGAAATTTCCAAGTACTTTATTTGGTTAAAGTTATGTGTTAACTGTTATGTTCGATACGTCTCTTTCACAGTTTTTATTAAGAATTAACACTTATAAATATCATGAACGATGCTTTTGTACCGATGAAAATAAATCGATAAATTTACAAAATCAAAAGTAATAACAATAGACGTTTTGATGGATAGTTTTATCACGTAGACAATCTTACGAAAGCAAAATCATATACGATTATTTATGTGAAACTTCTTTGGCGCATCAGGGTAAAAATTTTACGGAAATTCGGAATGTGCAGCGTTTTAGTCGAAAAAAAAAGGGAGAGAGCGATTGAGACCGATTGGGAAAGGCAAATTACCTTCTAGAAATTCTATTTTTAAAATTAAAATTTCGTAAAGAGAATTTATGAAATATTAGTAGTTTATATTTTATGCAAAATAATTTATTGAAATTTCAAATGACGAATTATAAATTAAAATTCCACGTGAATTTATTATCGAAGTAATTTTAAATTTAAAAAAATAAATTTATTATTTGTATTAATTTTCGATACTCTTAATATTTTAATGACAATTAAATTAATTAAATTCCTTACATATCCTCCTTTTTCCCTCCCTCTAAGTCTCGGAAATCTAAAGTTTCAGATTTGTATAAATATGAACAAGAGTTAAAAATTAGTTTGCCAAAGAAGTTTCATTTCTGACATGTGTACTTTGTACGCACGCACTTTTTTTATTTAATAAACTGCCGTTGCTTTTTCCTTTCAATCGGGCTTAGAAAGAGACCAAACATTAGTTGTAAGAGAATTCTATATTCAAACGAACAATAAACGCAGGATAATTTTCCTGTAAATCAAGGAAGTCCATGTAAAATCTTTTTAGATAAAATAAAATGTTTTAATAACGCTTCAATAAAGGCCCCGATCGCATTGATTATTATTAAAATGTATTCACTCGCGACCTGCTGTGATCTTTCATGCGTATATTTAACTTTGAAACTTCAGCGAAACAGTCTTGGGGCTTTAATATTGATAAATTATATTGGACCTTGAACGTTCTAACCTTAAACGTAGAAGCTTCAATAGTCCAGTGGTTACTACTACGGTCTTGCGGTAAAATCCCGGCCAATGACCTTTTTTATGTCAGAAATTTAAAACACGCCCGTAGAATAACTGGAACATTGTTCATAAACATTCGGCATATGAGGACATAAACCAAAAACTTGTCGAATAAAAAGTATGGCGGAGAGTTGTTGCCAGTTCTTTCTTCGTAAATGTAAATTTTAGACCTTTTTTTAATATTGACATTCATTAGAGTACTATAGCTACCAATATGAATAAATGAATTTGATTATGAATAAATGAAAAATTATACAGATATCTGATATGATAATGAGTTTATTATATATATTGTTTTTATTGCTAGGCGCCTTTATATAATATGTTTTAAATAACCTTTTTATTTATTTATTTATTAAGGAAGGAAACTAAACAGATACATCTCTATACAGTAAAAATAAAATAAAAGTAAAACATAAAATAAACACATTGGACATATCCACAAAAAGATCCCTTATTATAAATGATTCTTTTATATTTAATATACTGCATACATAAAAACTCGTAGTACTAAGATAATATAAGTCACACAGTCAAGTCATATACTCGTAAGTGATTTGTCAAACTATGTATAGGTTTTTTATTTCTAGTATAAATAATTCTAAATCAATAAGCCTTAACGTCAAACTCAATAAAACTACGAGCAAAGAATAGCCGCGTCCTTGAATATGTAATCCACAAAATCGTAGCTCGGATTTTATAAATCTTACTGTAATCCGAGTTCATAATTCAGCCGATGTCTCCAATCACGATTTAGTACGGAACGAACATGCTATGTAAAATTTTAATCCTCTTTATTTACGGAGGCTTATATTCGATTTATGCTTCCAACTTTTTGCTGGGAATACGAAAAAAACATTTTGCATACATATTTAACGTCAAGCCAATGTCTAGTGATAGGGTGTAGTGGTGGTGGTGGTGGTGGTGGTAGTGATTAACTCCAGAAAATTAACAAAAAAACCATGCCACGTAATTTTAAAATGTTATTGTGGGACACCTGCACAAGCTGTGTCCTGTGGAATATCCTAGCAACATCATTTTTCACTACAAATTCAAACAACCACAAATTTTAATTTGAGTAAAACAAATGAACATAATAAATTCAATTGTTGTGTTGTTGTGTCAAATTTGCAGTCAGCCACTGTACTATATGCATTCTATAAATGTACCGTTTTAGTACGCACAATTTAATTATGTTACATTGGGTTTAGTAATGAAGTTCGACGTACTGGACAGAAAAAACAGTTTATGTTTCTACCACACACATCCACACACGAATAGCTTTCAATACTTGACAATTTACATCGTGAATATCAAATATAGGTTATATACGTTAAGGAATCGGAACATTGTAAATACACTTAGTTAAACCAAAGTGATAAAACCCCTATTAGATAGTTAGTCTGAAGATAAAATAAATCCGACTATCCTACTAAATTGGACGTCGTTAATTTAATGTTACATGTCGGTGTGACAAGCGGCATTTTTTCATGATTACATTCTACCACGATATCACAGAATTATTTTATCAGTACGTCCAATTATCTAGAAATTCATAGGCAAAATCTATATATATAAAAATGAAACCCGTTTTCCGTTGTCACGGCATAACATGAAAACGGCTTGACCGATTTGTCTGATTCTTTTTTTATAATATTCCTTGAAGTACGAGGATGGTTCTTACAGAGTGAAAAATAAAAAAAATTGAGTGAAAAAGTCTAAAAACAACACTTTTCTATATTCCCATACAAAATATTCATAATAATATTAAAAAGGCAATTTGAACTTTAATACCATATCATAAAGTTCAAGTGTTAGTAGAGGGGTTCCGGGAAGGTAAATTTTTATTTTTTGACATAATGTATTTGTTGTATTATCAACTTTCTTTTTTTTTTTATCTTACTAGCTAGACCGGTGTCCCGAATAGCAGAATAAGTATTAAAAAAAAATAAAGAATCGACTGTTAGGCGGTACGATGTTCGCCAGGCCAGCTAGTATATTATAAATTTATGGTTCATATTTCGGTTATTGTTTAATTTAAAACGACAAAGAAAACTAGATTTTTTTAGCTTACATACCAACAGGCATAATAGACCTAATTCATTTTTCCTGTGTAATAAAACTTTACAAGAAACATGAATATTGGATTAAAAACAAAGTCTAGTTTGCCTAACAACACTTAAAAAAGAAAACAGTATTATTTATTAAAAATAATATGGTTTATTAAAACCTAAACATAACAATCAAATATACAGTACATTATTAGTCACGTAATTTTCTTTCGTTGTGGATTAAAGATAATGATTACTACTACCCCTTCTTGAACCCATCTGCGTTTTTGCTGGGTACGTTGGGGTACAAATCGCTTGAGCTACGGACTTACGGAGAGAGCAATCGGCAGTCTACTTTGCACTTAATGTTTTGAACAGACCGCATGGGCCTGCTTTCGGGGTTGCATAGACTATTTGCCTGAAAAGTATTTCAGTATTGCGTGCCTTGCTGTCAGCAGTACAGTTCGTGTATGATCTCCCTGCTTAATCGTTCCGTCAGTTCTGCACTAGAACTGGATTATAGATATTTAAGACAGATTTGGGAATACTGAGAGAATATAATTTTTTTTAATTAGAAAAAATGGTTAGTAGTGAAAGATAGTATGTAAGTTATTGTTTGGCAAGATGTCGATGTAAAAATGTCGATAAAATAAATAACATGTATATTCTACACTGTAATTAAATAAATAAATATAAAGAGAGAACGTATACGCATCGCTTTTGCTAGTATAGTCGATTACTGTTATTATCAATCTGTGCTTGTCTTGTCTTGAATAGCTAATGAAATTAATTTCACGGTAGTAAAATTATCAATTTAGTGGGTGTTGATGTAGTGAGCCTTGATTTAATCTTTGTTCAAGTAATTTTTATCCAAAATTTTAATAATTTTTACAATATATAAAAAAATATTACAATAATTTTTACACTTGACTAAGTGGCCTTTAAATAAAAGGATATCCATTCCTTCAAAAGCCAGTGACACACACTCTTGACCTTGCATGTAGGCGGCGGTTAGAACTTCATTACAATGACCTTGCTCGTTTCCCTCTTATTTTGGAAAAAAATAAGATATGTTACCACAAGTGACATAATCTACTAATGGAAAATCGGCAGACCCATTTCTCTGTCTTTTTTTGGTTAAAAAAAACATTCAAAACCGCAAAAGACGAAATTATAAATACGGCGTGTATTTTTTTTGTTCTTCTTAGAATTTGCCTTTTGTGTTCCGGCAACAACTGCAACACCGGAAATTGATCCTAAACCAATATTATTTCTATGAAAAAGATATGAAGTATGTGTATGTATTTTTGTGTGAAATATATTTTGGGTATGTGTGGAGTATTACTTTTTATCATACATACTTTTGGATGGATTTATCCTTTTATAACTGAAGTACTAATTTTCCATTTATCAATTTATAACTTCATTTTGCCTTAATATGAATTTTTACTTAGCCTACCTTTTTAGTACCTACATTCCAACATAAAGAACATTATGCTTTGCTAACCTATAGAGACTGTTCTCTTTTCCGAAAAAAAAAATACTTTTTTGGATTTTCCGAGCAAATTATAAAGAGAAAACATTTCACAATGTTTCTCTTGTAAATTGTATAAAAACCTTTCAGCCATCTTCGAGTTTTGAGCTTATCAACATATTTTGCATTTCATTTTTATTTATATAGATTACTATGTAAGAAAAATAATATTAAAACTGCTAATTGTAACTGCTTCACTAGATTACACAAAAAGTTTTAAATTTTGCTCTTTTTAAGCGAATTATAAATTTTAGCAACAGTATGAAATACTCCACTGTAATTCCAAGAGCTATTATCAATACGTTTTAATGAAATACGCAGCTGCATTTTTCATTTTTAAAATAAATATTAAAAAATCCATAAAAAAGTACAAAGCCTTAATTTAATTGGAATATATATATATATATATATATATATATACAGTAAAGACCAATGGCGCTACAACCTTATTTGGGTTTCAGATATATGTATTTGTTTCGTGCTCATTTCTTATAGGTAAGTAGGTAATCGACTTTCTAAGCTTGACACACACCGTCGACTTTGTGAGTGGAATGCCGGTTTCGTCACGAATTTTTTTTTACCGGACGAGTGAGTGTGACATAGAAAGTCCATTGGTGCACAGTAGCGGATTGAACCTATTACCCCAGGAGGGAATCCCAACGGGATGAGAGACCGCTGACAAAAATACAATAATAATACCTTATTAATATAAAGTAGCCCGGGGTTAATAAGTTTCAAATAACTAAAAAAACTTATCGATTCAAGGAAGTAGTTTTTCCTTAAAATCGAATAATAGAGAAACACAATTTTTTTTAATTGTCTTTACACTTATATTTGATTATTTTCAGTATAAAGACCTATGGAAGGACAAACACCTGCTTTTGAAGCGTCAATCAATATCACCAGCGATTCAACTGTCAAGTGCATTTCACAACATCAGGCCAATGTTCCGCATGCCACTTCTGGGATACCTCACTCTATTTTGCGTGTTGAACTTTACTTCGATGACATTGTATGTATTTTTATTATTCTTTTATAAGCCTAGTTGTACGAGCCCAGGGTGTTAACTTTTGCTCACTCAGGCTTTATTAGTTTTATATGCGTGACGATTTCCTAAATCGTCAGAGTTACGCCCCGAGAGTATAGCCAGACGCAGACACTCTATCCGACTGTTACTTTGCAGTCATTCGTTTCATAGAATTCACTTAATCATGGGAGTTACGCCCCGAGAGTACAACCAGACGCTAGCATTCTCTTCAACTGATATTTTGCAGTCATTCGTTTTATAGCAATTAACTAAATCATGGGAGTTACGCCCCGAGAGTATAGCCAGACGTATGCACTCTCCTCAACTGTTACATTGCGTTCATTCATTACATAACAATTAACATTTCATTATTTTGCTCATATTCTATTGCTATACGCGAGTGGTTTATATAGAGTAAAACAATAATCTTCTATTAGTTAAAGCATGATATATAAGTATAATTTGCTCTTTATGTAATGTTATGAACTTTTTATTAGACAGGCGGAAAGGGAAAGTACCTTGTATTTCTAACAACATGTATTTTTTTCTCAAGTCATACAATAAATACGAAGTACGATTTGGAGTTAGGTGACTTAACAGAAGTGATCTCTTCCAGACAACTCGAAATATAGAAACTTGAGAAATGCAATATTTTTTTTTTAATTATGTTACAAAACATATTATGTTATCTAATTTCAGTATTTGTATACAAAAACTATTTGGACATTAAAACACTCACACAGGTCGAATACTACACAGTAACTGCAACTCCATAAACAATTTAAGAAAAAAATGATATAAATAATGTAACTGATTTTGAAAACAATTTCTATTTGCGATGGTAACAGGAAAACAAAGGGTTTGTTATAAATTATGCACATTCTGCACAAACCACGACGTTTAAACTCGAATTACTGATGATAAATCGCGTGGTCATTGCAATTTTAACTTGAGTTTTTATTATTTGATTTATCAAATTTCAAACATAACTCGCACGGCAGCAGATTTGTTGTAATATATCGTTTGTTTCGTTTTGAAACACCATAACGCAGTAATGGGACTATGACACATTTTTGTATTCTCCCAATTTTACAACAGTAATCGTACGTATACGTCATGTGCCTTACTTTTGTTACGTATTTCGGTATCAGTACCCATCAATATCCACGCTCTGACGGACGCTGTATAACCTGTCTTTACGATTAATTGTTCAATTTATTTATTAGAGCTTTATTAATGAATCCATACAAAAATTTGGTTAGTTAACATGTAGTGTTAATATATGTAGTGTTAGTATGTGTATTGTATGGCCCCGTTCGGGGAAAAAGTACTCCTCCATATTTTTTCTTTATTTTCCTACCTCCTACGGAGTGTGTACTGCTCCGGAGGTTTATAAGTGTAACATGCCGTTAAGGTCCCGGTAGAATGCGAGAGCGGAGCTTGTGTAACGCGGCTTTTTAGGAACTCGAGGTGATTTTAGTGGGTATCTCTCACCCAGTCTCTGAATAGCAGAGATTCTGGGGTGGATCAAGTCCCATATACCCCTGCAACTTTTGGGGGCAGTATTATACGTACATTTCCACCTCAGATATAAAAATAAAGGACTTATACACTAGTTTTTTTTTTTTTTAATTAAGTGATTTGTTTTTATTTACACAAATAAAAACACACTAGTTATGTTAAAAAAGTATCTTTATGCTTTGTTAAATTATCTTATATATAAAATACCTTAAGGCTTTTCAGCCTCACCCTTATCGGTATATATATTACCCAAGGTCACGGTCACATCATCCTAACCAAAATAAAACTCTAATTGACATAAAAATAATAAAACTATATATAGCCTGTTGTATTTACATTTACCAATTACATAAATAAATGAAAAAATCCTTTTTTTCGTTACCCCACACAAACATTGATGATAAATCGTCTTTATTATGCGTAGTCATTTAATAAATTAATTTATCACATTTAATTAATTCTACTTTCAGTACTTTATGTTCAATTAATGTTTGTCAAACTAAGTTATGTCTACAAAACACGCGAAACATCTGTTACTATATTGAGTTAAAAATAAATTGTTGTAAAATTGTAAAAATTAGTTTTTAATAAAACTACTGAAATTCACATTTTTTTAATATAATTAATGCTTTTTTAAAATTAATGATTAGTTTAATATTCATTCTAAAATAAATAATTTTATTTAATTCGAATTTAGAATATTACGACAGTGAAACTACAAAAAATAGCAAATAACATTCGTACAATCTAAGATTTTCATTATGTTTTTTCAGATATATAGTACTGAGAATGTGGTTCCCACAGCTATCCGCCATGTTTGAGCATTATTCAAGTGGAAGTAGTGATATCTGCGTCATCATAGATTCTTACTCCAGAGACTTAAAACTGAAAACTCTTCCTGAAAGAGATGAAGTTTGCATACCAGTAAGTGTTTTGTCAAACATTATTCCTATGAGTATCCAAATTTTATTTAAAAGGAGGAACCAACATACTTAAATCATAGTTTCTATGTATTAAAGGAGTGTAAATGAATCTGAACAGTTTTCTCAACATTTTTATTTTCCCGCCTATAATCGATCACATCTGCTCTGGATCCACTGTATGATCCTAAAGGCGATTGATTTTGATATCAGCCCTGCGATTCTGTAACTCACTTATCGAACTCACACAGCGGTTTCCGCATCGGCGGTCGCTCTCAAATCAGTCGTGAAGCAGTCATTTTATGATTTGGCCTTCTGAAAAGGTGAGAGCTTGTAGTTTATTGTTTATCAGAATGCCAAATCATAAAATTACTGATTTGAGAGCGACCGCCAATGCGAAAACCGCTGTGTGAGTTCGAAAAGTAAGTTACAGAATCGCAAGGCTGATATTTTGTCTATTTGGAATACGTTATTTTATTATACTACGTGATCTTATTGTACCTGAATTTATTTTAGTTGCAAGTGAGGCAAGTGATGCACTTGCCTTTGCCGTATGTTAGGTCATTGTTATGACTAGTTATAATAGTTATTTTATTAATAAAATATAAGTAAAAGTATTAAATTTTCAGGCGCGGAGTGGCGCCGAATCCTACATCAATAGTCTCATCCTAGGCTCCGTTTGCTGTATACCACCTATAATCAGCGGTGTACTAGTAAACAAAGTCGGTAAACGGAACCTATATATAGTCTGTGGATTTATAGCCATGGCCTTGACTATAGCAGTGAGATGGGCCAACTCGAAGGTTGCTATGGTAGCGCTGTTTTCAACAGACGTCGCCATATCAACATTAATGGCCAGTTTGACACAGACCATGGTACTACAACATTTCCCGACCACCACAAGGTAAAGCTTATTTCAAGTAGCTAAACTGTTTTGGAAATTAAAAAGTGAAGGGAAAATTTTAAAGTGATATTATTCAAGCCAGGAAGGCAGGGCTGGAAGCTAGACTGATAATTGAAATTTGATATTTATATGTATAAAGACGCCATTAGAATTCAAAGAAACATTATTACTAACTATTACAAATTATTGATTTAATTTAAAATTACACAAGCACAACTAATCATAAATATATATATTATACTACCATATTCTTGCAATAATAAATAAATTATATATTATATTATATTTTAAATTATATATATATTATATTATCACTTTTTACCGCAGTTTTTTCCTCCTTCGTCGAACGGCCTTAAGATATTTTTTGTTAAATTCAAATTAGGGTTCAAAAAATACTTCGTTCTTGGGACGTTCTAATTCCAACGCTAGGGGACCAATGCTTAAGCCACTGGCAGCATTATCACTTTACAACAGGCACGTCCTCAACGCTATAGAATAATCTATAAAAAGATTATGTGTACATATAATAAACTTATATAAACAAAATATATTTATTCCGTATTTTAAATAACTGTCGTATTTAATGTATTGCATTAAAAAAGTATAGGATTAACTAGATTATATAATTTATAAGTACAAGCGTATTACTTTAAGTTTATTATTTTGGTTGAAGTGACGCTATAAAAGTTTCAGCTCCTTATTACACGATAAGTGTTTCAAGCTTTAAGCTCGGGAATGATGAAGCTTTTGTGAAATAAAAATCTTTGCACGTAGAATTCTTCTGAATTCGAAATATAAATTTAGTCTACAACTTGCGTAACTTGTACAAAAACTCGATTTGTGCCACCGTGAGCCAAATGCGTTTTATAAAGGTAGCAAAGGTAGCAAAAACGTGGTTTAGAAAACCAAATTAAGTCCAGAATTTATAACGCTTTATAACGCTTCTAAATTAATCTGTAAGCTAATAATTACTAATTGGACTCACACTTCTTTGTTTGATAGTATTTGGTTTGAATGAATCGATGGTCGAGTGTCTACGATTGGACAAGATATGCTAATGACCGGTCAGAATTAAGCAAAACGCGCAACATGTAACTTTTTGTTTACATACTCACACCCTAGGGCCGACAACAACACGCCTAGACACTAATCACTAGTTACACTATAGTTACCGTCGCTATAAACTCGGCCTAGAAAACTTTATTTTTATTTAGTTTAACGAAATTTTAAATTATATAAAGATACATCCCTCTCTTCCGGACGTGAAGGACTATATGTATGCAATAAATTCAACTGCCGAACAGATTTTTGTACGGTTTTTATCAATAGAAAGTGAAAAAATTATGGTTTGATGTAAATTTACTCAACGATGCGAAAAATCTTACACGATACCCCTAGTACGTATATATTACACATAACCGTGACACAAATAGAACCTTTAAGAAAATAACTGTATAGCATCATTTCTAACCTGTTTTCCGATATTTTCCTAGATACTGTTGGGATTTCGATCTAGTTTCGTAAAAGGTTTTCACCGAAATCACCGCGTCTACGTAATTAAAGCGACAGCAAAATGGATTTCAGTTATTTTAAAATGTATTTCATACTTTATTTTTAATTAATTCCAACGCAATAAAACTGGGTTGATATTATTTTATGAATGTCATAATAGACTTGCGTTACCCGCGAGTTTTCTTATCTGAATACTTATTACTACTGATACATTTTATTTGTATGTAGCTTATAATACGTAACAACATATTACGTTTTTTAATTACAAGAAGGGTACAAACCCGAATTGCGCATTGTTTGAATGGTCTAACTTCCTCTATGGACACTTTACTAATTAGTAACTTGAAGCAGTAAGATCGTGGAATGCGGGCAGAGGTGTGAAAGAGGCGACCTCGTTCTTTCTCTCAGCGCTAACTTATAGAAAATTTAATTTTGCATTTGAAATCTACCAAAAATTTAGTTTTTCTACAAATAAGGGACCGATATATCTATTAAATTTTGCAGATCGTTAGCTGTCGCTATAGTGATGACGATGGGCCGAACTGGCTCTGTATTTGGAAATATATTGTTTCCAATACTATTAGACATGGGGTGCGCTGTTCCTTTCTTTTCATTAGCAGCTATAGTTGGCGGTAAGATATCTAAATTCTAATAAAAAACATATGAGAATTGTTCTATTACTGGTGAAGTTACTCTGCCGTCAGTTTCATAAAATAATTGGTAGTATTTTAATTAAATAATATAACGTTCCCGTAACGCTGTTTTGTAAACAATCATATGTGCGTATGTTTATAATGAATTATTTTTTAATTTTTGTATTTTAGACGTGTGTATAAGACAACGCCTATATAATACACAATTTAGTTAGATTCAAACTTATTTTTTTACAATAATAATAATCCGCAGTACGTACTGCATCCGTTCCTTTGATAATTTTTTTATGAAACGTAGGCATAGGAGGCCTGATATATTGTCGAACGACTTTAGACTGGTTGATGATTATTGCCTTCGTCGTATGACAAAAGTTAATTGCGCACACAGAAATTCAATATATTGGTGCAAAGGCGTTATTCTAACGCAACGCCTCACGATTGAGAGTCGTTTTCTTAAGCCGCAAACCGAAGTGCCGAAATGGTCAATATATTTTTTTATTTTTTACAGCTACGACAGGATTGGCGTTTTTGATCTCATCGAAGAAAGAATAAACCCTCACCTTGAATTATAAAGAAACAAAATAATTTTGTGTTTTATATTAAAGTAGTAGTAACGTGCTAATGACAAAATATTTAACAAGTGTGTGTATTATAAGACAATGTATTTGATTGTGTATTGTTATTTATTATATCTTAATTACTAGAGATATTATTTTTATTAAAAATAATTTGTGAAAGTACTGAGTATTCGACTGGTGTCTGTTTTTCAAGTTTAGTTCCATTAAAACTATGATATGTTACTGACAAAATTATTCAAAATATGTTAATAATTCTAAGTTGTATGTATTCCTCTATCTTACATTTCTGATGATTGCAAGGCGACACATGATTTGATTAATAATAAGTGTAAAAAAAGGAACAATCCATATCCCTACGCTTCCTACAAAGATTGTGATCTCGCCAATTGTATTAGTTAAATTTTTACAACCCTGCCCGTAAAAATATTGTTGTATTATTTACTAAGGGAGTTATAAACCGGTTATACTTAAGATATTAACTGAATTATTTTATTTATCCACACTTCGTTACATTTATAGCAAAACAAATAACATAACACATAAAAATTATAAGGAATGCAATGGGCGGCCTTATCGCTAACAAGCGATCTCTTCCATGCCATCCTAGTAAGGAAAAAAAAGAAATAATATGATCTTGAATTTTTTGACTTTTATCTGAATCTAAAATAATACAAAAAAATGTAATAAAATAAACTAAAATCTAAAGAATATAGAAAATCCATAAGATTATCTCAAGGATTCATGAATTGCGATGCAATACAAAAGAATAAGAAATACAAGAATTGAAATATAATAATACAAAGTAATCCTTGTATTATTAAATATATTTAATTAACCTTAGTAACCAACCCAACCGGCATATTCAAAAACATGCCCCAGAGTTGTAGATAGTTCGCCAGGAATTTCTGCGGTATCAGTGCACATGAATTATCCGAACTTGTATAAATTTCCATTACATAGCCATCACCGTGGCTTGTTTAAGTTCTTAGTTTATTGTGTCCAACCAGGAGCCTGTAATGCATTGCTGATCACGTACTTTCGTGCTTAAATGATCGGTAAATATAAAGGAAACCTTTAACAGGTTTAAGTTAGTAATACTTTCAGTTCTACAAAATATTTTCTTCAGTCTTTAACAGTATTCGCTGCATTATTGTAGGTTGCGGTTAATTCATTATATTTTAAAGGTTATTGTAATACGTCGATGATAAAATAATGTATTTTTTTTATCTTTAATAAAACATTACAAACATAAATCGCTGATTAGCGATTAATGAATTCCATGTATGTTTTTGTATGGTTTTTGGGATAAAAATCATACGGGTTAAATAGAGAGACTAGCTAGACTAACTAGAATGCTAGCCTGAATTAGTATTTAATAATGAAAGTAAGATCCTCAGACATATGAACGGGAGAAATAAACTGTATATATCAGCCAGAAAACACATAAAATTTACAAAATACGTATTATATAATAAGTGAGTAATAATTATTTCCGTCCATGGCTATATATATTGAGTCTTGTCTGTTTTAGTATACACACACACACACACACACACAGTATTTAACGAATCAAACTAAGAAAAATACGTTCATGAAATTATTACGAATCAGCTGATTGTAGTATTATTCCTATTATGCTTAAAAAAAAATTATATAATAATACTCTCTACTGCCATTGTGTCCAGGGACTTTTTCCTATCTCTTACATTTGTACTAAAAAGATACAATATATTAATTACAAGAAACTATATGCTTGACATTTCATGAGTTTTTATATAATACTAGTGGACCCCACAGACGTTGTCCTGCATGATATTTAAAGCGATTAGCATATTAAGCAAAGTATGAAAGTACCGACTGCAGTGCCATCTGCCGGGCTGATTTGTGAATCTAAACCATTCCCAGATCCCCTTGAACACACACAAAAAATTTCATCAAAATCGGTCCAGTCGTTTGAGAGAAGTTCAGTGACATACACACTCACAGAAGAATTATTTATATAAAGATTATGCTATTTTCAGTCAAACAGTTGTCCATAGGTGTTTAAAGAAACGGGCTTTCATTTGGCCTTGGATTTATTTATCTATTTTCTTCATAATTTTCCTGAGAAGATATTTGTCTGCCTTACATCAAAGACTTAGAATTTGGCCCTTTAGAAAATCAACTCACACCAGCGGTCGGTAATTAGCAATAGCGATAGCGACATCGATCCCCACTTGTACGCGATTTCGATGTAGTGCTCTCAATAGTACTAAAGATATTACAACCTTGGTAACACCTAGTACCAAAACACTACATAGAAGTCTGTCGGCGTAGGACCATTTCTTGGCCGAGAGTATGTTAATAATAAGTAATACTTCTGAATTACACAAATTTATAGCAAATTTCATCAGATACGCAAACAGTTGCCGAAAGGTATTTGCATTTAATTTAAAACGTGGTTCTGATAATTTTATCTAAAGTTAATATGCGAACCAATTATAGTTGAGCTGCCCGTTTTGCGACTGTAAATGAGTAATAAGTGGTTCAATATTTTAATAGAGATCTTTAAAAGATTGTTTTGATGATAATTAATGTGCGTAGGAGTGATACCAGTAAATGTGGTCACATTCCTTCGCTGTTATGCGTAGAGTGATGACGTGTATTTAATCAATATATTTTGTAATTAAAATGGTTGAATTCGAGATCGTTGATAAGGATGAAGGTATGGCAAAAGTTACGTAATACTGTAGTTTTATGCAATTTTAAATTGTGTTGTGATTATAGTGGAACTGCCTTTAAACAGATCCTAACACATATTAAAAAAAACCTTAATGTGTAAAGGTTACTACACAGTCAATGACTACCTGGAAGATAAAAACGCTTGGCAATAGTTGTAATTATATTCTTATAATTTGATTTGTGTGTAATGGTGAATGTGGTAAATCACAGAACAGTAACTTTAATGACGTTGTGGTTTATGACATTTTCCTTTGAATAATTGTAATGTAGAGGGAGGGTAAAACTTGCTGAGTTTCTTGCCCGTTCTTCTCAGAACGAGGCCTCCTGGTAGTTTTGCGAACGGATGGCGTAGTCTTGCTCTTTCGCGAATAAACTCTGTAAACGTTTTTGACATTCATAAGCATGCGCTAAGACGCATCTAAATTGAATAAACGTATTTTGATTTGATTTGATTAAATAAATAAAAAAAGTGAATAAATTGTGGTACGATGATTAACATGTGTTAGACAGAAAATGTTTACTAAAATTGAGCTTTGGTTTTGGTAGCTATGTTACGGTTAATTTATGTAATAACGGCTCCTTAAAACAGCTCCAAATTTTTTCTATCATTCTTTACGACTTGTGTACTACACACCCCAAGTACTTAATATTACTTGGGGTACTACCTTGGTAAAAAAAGATCAAACAACTGATAATATTATCTACATGCACGATGTAAACAATATTGTCTCAGTTCACAGAACGGCGACGCTGTGAATTATATTAGGTTAGGTTTTGTTTTTTTTTATTCTAAGCGTTTGTGATTTGAAAGAGCTAATCAATAATATTACACAAAAGGATAAATACACACGGGGTTAGGTTATGTTAGGGTTAAACCTAAAATTTGTACATTCTTTTAATAATTTCACAAATTATGATGTTTTAATTAATGTCTATGGGGTCAAAGAACATGTGCCACCATTGCCGAGTGATAAAAATATGTAGAAATTTTTTTTGAGCTGTTTTATAGTGGAGCCGTGATTCGACAAATTTACCGATGTTATAATTGAAAGTTTTGCTTGTTGGTGAAAAAACAAATAAATTATATTATTTTTATTATACTAGACCACCTCATCCTTCACCTACATCTTTTTGTGTCAAATTTAAATACAACATTTCTAAAACAAACCAAAGAGATTGGACCTGATACTAGAGCTATGAAACACAAATTTCTGAATACTAATATAAAATGTACGACAGCCAAGTGACATTTTTTTATTTCTAAAAACACCTTAAATATTTCCCAGCTAGGAACAGTTTTCATTGGAAAATTCAATTGACGACGTTTCCCACTGTTTCAATCTTCCCTGAACTTCCATAAATACTTCATGATCATAATTAGCCAAAACAGTCCAGTTATTCTCGAGAATAACTGTTCAATTCATCAAACGAACAGAATAATTCGATAGAATAATTGCGCTAAATAATAAAGTTTATTATCAATGTTGTAGTGTGTGTGACAGTTTTTTCTATTTTGTTTTAGTTGAAAATGTGGAGAAAAAACCGCCAACGGATATGGGAATGGTAAATTTAGCATTGAAGGAATGCGGCTTTGGAAAATTTCATTTAAGACTTCTGTTCTCATCTTTTGTCGCGCACACTGCTGGGGTTATCGCTACAGCTACTACGCCTTACATATTACCAATAGCTGAGTGTGATCTTGATATGAATTTGGTGGAAAAGGGAGTTCTTAACGCAATACCTTATCTAGGTGAGCACTTAAAATATATTTCATATGAAAAAATACAGTTCATCATTTACGAGTTTTAATATAACTTTACGAGTAACTGTACACTGCATCCGTATACATCTATATCTATATATAGCGTGATATATTTTTACTTGTGTACATTCACTATAATATACATATATATTGCTTAAAAAGTTTATGTTACATATGTAAACTTTTTGGTATTATTTGATAATTATGATTATTCTATGTAAAAGAATTTAGAGTTGGTTCTATAGTGTTTGGGTTCCTACTTCACTAACATAGAAGATTTACTTCCTATTTACAATAAATAATAACATATAACGCATAAATAACCAATATAAATTGAACAAGAGCATTCTGATAATATTAATATGTTTAGCATTATATATTTTACTTTAATTTCTCAAATACTTTCCTACTTCTCCATTATTATTATTATTTGGTGGTAGATTGTCATCACAGAAATGGCACAAAATATTATATTATTAATTGAAACTAAT